TAGCAATGACCATTCTTGTCTCCCCAAATTTATTTTCTCACCCTCCTCAGAAATGGAAACACAATTTTTAGTTGTTTACACAGTTACCCAGGAGACCGTGTTTTCTCACTAACATTGTAAGTCAACTACACTTCAATAAAAAATAAGAATTAAAAACAAACAAACAAACAAAAAACTGTGTTCTCTCGCCTCCCCTGTGCAGTTCTGACCAAACGGATGTGAGCAGAAGTGTCACAGGGCAGTTTCTGGAATCCTCCTCCCAAAGCAGTGAACGTACCATTTACCCCCCTTCACCTGCTGTGGCGTGGAGGTCACGGCTGGTACTCCAGGTGTCCCTCAGACCATGTGATGAGGGCCACCCCCAGGGCGGGCAGGGCAGAAGGGTGCAAGGAGCTCAGGTCCCTGGGGGCTGAGTGGGCTGGAGCCAGGACACCAGGCCTGGGCTGCCCACCTGGGGACTTTTATGGGAAAGAAAATAAAGTTCTAGCCTGTCTGATCCTTTGTTACTTAGGTCTCTTATAATTGCAGACAAACCTAATTCCAGCTTTGAACAAATAATATTTTAAAAATAAAACCTGTTCTCCATAAAGATTCCTTATATGCTGAAAGAAAAAAAGAAAGTGCCATTCAAAAAATAAGAATATGTCATGGCTCTGGGGGGCTTTTCTAAACATTCCAAAGCACTCCAAAGGCTCTCCAACACTGCAGATAAACACAGAGCCCCCCAAAGGGACCGGTTACAAGAGGACCAGGCTCAGGGAGACGATCAAGTCTAGGTGGTTCTGACTCTGTCCCTCTACTTTATTGTCAAATAAACACGGAAAGGCGACTTCCCCGGGTGAGAAGGGTTTACACACAAGTGTGTCATGTCTACCACACACATACAGCAATATCCAGATGCTTTAAAAAGAAACCAACCCCCATACACACAGCAGAAGGCCCCTGGAAAATGCCTGTTGACGATAAAAGAAGAAAAGCAAAGCGTGAAACCAAAGCAGGCCCGGGGACTTACGTGGTTCTCTCTGTAGTAGTAAGAAAGCGCAGGAAACCGCCGTCGGCTCCTGAACTTGGAACTCCCCACGATGATGTGCGCCGTGGCCGACCTGGGAACGTACAGGTCAGTAGGGTAGGAATCACAAACCTGCCACGGAAAACACAAGGGCATTTTTTAGGCAATCTAGTAGCGCTCGGCAAACTGCCGCCAGAAATTCCATCTCATATTGGCTGAGGGGTGGCATATTTAAGTTTTCTTAACCAAGTTGCAGAGGAGGCTATTTTGAGGAAACCAAAAGCCACTTCAAAGAAATGAAGCGCTGCAGATTCTATGAAATCACAGTGAAGCAAAGCAGGATACTCGTTAGCGTCCTGCCCTCCGGCACCAGCCGTTCTCTCTAAGGGATCTTTGTGGGAGGCAAGACCGTGACAAATGAGCATTTCCTTCATCAAAAAGGGACAAACTGCAACTGCGCATCCTGGCAGCTGAGAAATCTTCAGCTGCCTGCTTTGACTGAAAGGTAGCCTGACACTGGGAGACAGTTTCCTAAAATGCCAGCACCAGTGGTGACCTCCCCAGGGCACCTTCCTGCCCCTGGCACACCCTCCGTGCGCTCCTGTCCAAGCCGGCAGTCAAGCCAACGCCCTCCCCAGACGCCCCTCCCCTCCATCTTCCCAAAGCTCCTGGCTCTTCAAGGACTTCCCTGGGCTTCCTAACCTTCCGCACTTTACCACCCATTATAACAGCTTTCTTTTCTTCTGTGTCACTTTGTAACTGGTAAGAAGTGATTTATTCTCTCCGCGCATCCCCACCAGTGATGCCCACAGTGGAAGCTCTGGTGCCTTGGAGTGATCTTACAATTGAGTCAGAAATCAGTAGTTTAGAACCTGGCTCTGATCTGCCAACTCCATGACCTTCATGAAGTCAAACTCCTGAGCACCTTCTACTCTCTAAAACTGATCCGGAAGAGAAATGATATCCCACGGGGCAGAGACCAGGATCCAACCAGGGAACACCCAGGACAAAGCTCTTTATACACCAGCGGGTCTGACGGGAGTGGTGGCAACAGTGACAGTCATTGATTTGTTGCCTGGCAGGTCTTTTGCCTTGATGTCAGCCAATCTTTTTGCAACACAAGAACCGTTTAGATGGCAGTTCCTCAAGGTCAAGCACCTTCTTGGGCATTTCAGGAGAAGACCTTCCTCCAGCAGGTGCAGCAGCAGGAGAGGTGCTTTCCCCGCATGTCCTCGGTCCGTCCCCGCCCGGCCTGACCACTCTGAACGATGAGACTGAAGAGAAGGAAAATCCGGCACCGAGCTCACATTGACCGTTCTGGGATGGTGCCCTCCCAGGCCCACCTCCCTTGTCTTTGTTACCAGCCAGTGAATAACACAGAGCAGGAGACAGAAGGGCCACAAAGTGATGCTCCAAGGCCCAAAGTGTCATTTCAGCGCTTCCCCAAAGACATTTTAGGGAAGATTACCAAAGACGTCAACCTGGTCTCTGGCACTGCGACTCAAGGGAAATCCCAGACCGAGAACAGATGGCCCAGCCTTCCTGGGACCTGAGCTCTTACTGGAACTACTGCCACAGACACTGCACTCGCTTGCCCTGCCAACCTGGCGTCTGGTGCTCCCGGCGTCGGTGAGCTAGAGCATCACCACACAGACCACACCGGCGAGTCTGAGCGCGCCAGACATGCAGTCACTGCTCTGACTTACAGTGTTTTCTTAAAATAACAGTTTTAAAAAGGAAATTGGTGGGTTTTCTGTAAGTTGGGGATTACCTACTTTCTTCCGTATAACAGCCCTAAGGAAAGGTTGTTTATGATTAAATTAAGTAAGAATAATAAAGTAATGGGTGAGATTTCCCAACATGCTTCTTACACAGGGCCATGGCCTTTCAGAATAGCAAAGAGGAAGCTCTGGGACTCCCGCCAGGTCCACTGACAGCCTCCCAAGGCCAGAAGGTGCCCAGCACGGCTCAGGCCACGGCCCCACGTGCACCGTACCCTGCATGGGGCCAGGGAGAAGGTAGCCCCCCGAGCCCACTCTCTTTGATACTCTCAGTCCCAACCCACTCAAGGACCTAAATGTGATCTATTCACCCAGGGTCCTTCCTCCTGCCTCTAAGGGTACCAGGCTCTCCCCTCCACAGAGTAGGAAAAGGCAGGCCCTTGGAGTTGGCATGTGCAAGGACCAAGAGCTCGACAACCTGCGCCTGGAAGACAGGCATCCGGCAGCACCTGACGTGTAACACTGCATAATGGAAGCCGTACCACATGTGAGTTTGACACATGTGTACACTGTAAGGCGACTGCCACTATCGTGATAAATTAGCACCTCCGTTGTGTTACATCATCATCGTAATAATACAGTCGTGTGTATCTGTTAATCCCATACTCCTAATTTCCACACCCCCTCCCTTTTGTGGTTGGAATCATTAAGTTCTAGTCTCTTAGCAAGTGTGATGTTTATAGCAGAATACTGGTGTCTATCAGCACATTTTTACTGAATACTTAATATGTGCAAGGCATTAGGTCAGGAGCTAGGGCAGTAATGAATAATGAAAGTTACTGGCCCCAAGGACTTCACATTCCCAGGAAAACTGATCTTTGTTATAACCTTCTAGAAAATGCTTTTACACTGCAGGGCAGTATCTGCCTGAGGTGCCAACCAAGGCATCGTAATCCGACCTCTGGTTTCACCGAGGGCCGATCGCTCCACTGAGCACTTTGGGGCTAAGAGTTAGTTATCAGGAACTGAGATAGATATACATACACAATTTTCTTCTTAAATATTCAGGACCTAAAATTTATTTCAAGGAGTTTATGATGTAATGGGGGAGAAGGAATGGAGTATGAGCTGCATGAAATGACTAATATACAAATAAAGTCAAATAATACATAAGTAGAGAATTGAAATAGACAAGATTTTTTTAAATTACTGGTTTGGGTTATACTTTAAATTTTATTCCAAGAGAAACAGATTAAAATTTTAACCTATTAATGAATGCTAATTATTTTACTTAAAGAAGGACAATTTTAAGAGTTAGGTGCAAACAGAAATCTTAGCATAGAGACTCAGAGTACCATAAGCAAGTGTCTGAGAAATGAGGATAACAGCCATGCTGATAGCGATGGTGGTGGTAATAGTACCTGGCCTGCCCAAGACCACACAGAGAGAGAATGGCAGCACTGGCTCTGGTACCCAAGTTTCTAACTCTACGTACGGCATCATTTCCACCACGGGCAATAGCTTCCTCTCCATCAGATGACACCACCAGCCCCACTTACCTCACAGAATTTCTGAGAAGAAAGAACTTTTACAACAGAAGGGAGGGGAAAAGTAGATGTTTTCTCAACCATGAGGTCAAAAGCAAAAGTAAAGGATGAGGATACAACCTTCTCAGTGGACTATTAGTCAGAAATATTTCTAAACTGGTAATAAATAAGGTTTATCACCTTTCTCCCTGTTTCAATAATATTTGTAAAATCAGAAAATCCCCTAGATTTTCACCTTTTCTGTTTCAACACAGTTTGTTGATGGTTAGTTTGGTAATTTTGTGTTACTTTTGGGGGAAAAAAATGGCCAAGTAACTCATGTTTTGCAGTCTCTATAACACAGGACTTGGCTGACTAAATATGAGTCATGTTTGTGGTGCTACGTCTAGAAGGAAATCTCACCGAAAATAAGAAGGACTTGTGTTTCCAAGAAAATATTCCTCCACAAGATGTGGCTCAGCCTCATTTTCTTCCTTACCCAAGGGTGTGTCATGGTTGTAAAACATGTCTAAAGGATGTCCAGTTTTCTTTACTAAACTTGGATTTTCCTTCCTTTCATTTCAAGGCTAAAAATTCACAGCAAAGGTTGGCTTTAGTGAGGGAACAAATGACTACGTTAGATACTGTAAAACGACTGAGACAAAAGGGATCAAAGTGTCTACTCGCAGTGTAAGATTATAAGTGTTAGATTTAAGTGTTTAACTATGAAGAAAATTCAGTATCATGAAAGCAGCCATTCTATCCCAAATAATCTATAAATTCAAGATGCTCAGAAGAAGGATTTGTGAGGACATGACTTGCAGAATATCAAGATTTATTATAAAGCTATAAAAACCATAGTTAGTAAAAATGTAAATTGGGACAAAGGTTAGCAAACAGGCCAGGTTGTTGTTTTTTTTTTAACAATATGCTAAAAACATGAAACAAAATAGGAGACACTGACAACTCAAAACTTCTGAGGATTAAAAGATACCCTAGGCACAGTACAAAAGTATCTCCTAAGAGGAGATATTTGCAACAGCTATAAATGATAATAGATTTTTACCTAGCATATGTAAAGAGCTTTACAAATCAATAAGAAAAAAGACC